TAGCAGTTGTCACCCAGTGACCTTGGCTGTTACCCTCTAGTCTTGCGCCTAACACTTGCACATCGCGCGGCAGACGAGAAACGCGTCTTTGAGAAAGAGATCGTTCGTCGTGAGCTCGTGCATGCCTTCCCGCTCTCCTTCTCCTTCTCCGTCTTCGGAAAGTGGGGGATGATGGGGGTGGGCGTCGCCGTTGGAGGTCGGAGGCAGCGCATGGCCGTTCGTAGCGGGGATGGAAGACGGCGCAAGCGGCGCGTTCTCGCCAACGGGCGTATCGAGCGCGTGGTCTCCATTATCCCGCGCATCGCCATTCATCCTTGCCTGCGGCTGCTCGAGCACCTGCGCGGGCATGGGCGGCGAGCTGCTCCCCGACGCGTCCGGGCTAGTCGCGGCTGGAGGCGTAGTAGAGGTATTGTTAGATGTTAATGTGGTCGACACGGCGCAGCGCGCGAAGACGTGGTTGATCATCTGGGTGAGGCTGCCTCGGGCGACTGTCTGGTTCACCGGGTCCGAGGACGTTAGGCAGACGAAACGGGGCGATTGTGATCGCAGAGAGGCGTAAGCTACTCTACGATACAGCCATACATTGTTCAGAATCTTAACAACAAAAAAAAAGCGAGAAACGTTCAACGAGCGACTTGATCCAGTCCCACAGGGACGAGTTCTGGCCCTGCACGGCGGCGGGTCCGTCGATTTCTTCAGCCGCGTGTTCGACCATCTGGTGAACCGCGCCATGGCCATGCGGCTGATGGGTGGACGCCCTTCGGTCTTGCCGAGTCTTGACTTGCCCCGCAAGGTTCTTGCCCGTATCTTCGCCCCCTGAAATGGGGTGAGCAGGGCGCGCAGTGCGGAACTAGAAACGCACCGAGGCTAGCCGGACTGAGGCTAGACGGCGCGTGGCCGTCAGGTGTCCCCGTCTCGGAAACATCTTCGTCATCTATGGTTATATCGTTGGCCATAGTGACGTCTTAGATCTTAGCGATCTGAAACTAGGCCGGGCGTGAGATAAGCATCGGGCGGGTGGGTGCGAGACTTACTGCGGGACTGCGATTGAGAGCGATTCGAGATATAGTGTGAGCGCGATGAGGGTATTGGGTAAGGTGAAGAGTACGCACAGCACCGCGTGATGTTGAGGCGCCTGTCTGCGTCGTGGGCATCGTCGGGCGCTACTGGAAGAACCACGTGCTTAACCTAAAAAGCATTTCATCGCGAGAAAAGAGAAGGAATTAGGATACGCGCCTTTCAACCTTCATAATCAACTCCCGTACGACCTGCGCGCGATGCAATAACTCCAGCGGGTGCTCACAACATGACGCGGGGATCTAGTGGATGAAGGGAGGGTTGGAGGGCTGGAGGAAACAGAGGGGAGACGGAAATCTCGATCGAACTCACCGCTAGCCTTATATCCCGACTGGAAGCGGGAGAAGGGTGCACGTGCTAGGCACCGACTCACATGTCGCGCGGCCCGGGCGGCCCACGCTTGCGTTCGCCGCGACGTACTGTTAGCGGTGTGCTCGGTTCGTGGCGATGAGGATCGATATGTGGGATGAGAGGTTGGACCCAAAAGACATAGTGTTATTCAGTCGTTCATAGTTTCCGCTCTTGACCCTCCTCCATCAAACTCACTCGCATCTGAATTTTAGACACCCTCTATCATCATCGTGAGGTCCTGTTACTCTCTTTAACTACTTCTCTTCACGCATTCTCTATGGCAGTCGAGCTGGTGCTCTCTCTTGTCTCGTTGCTTAAGGGTTTATTTTCGACTGGACATGTACTTGCTTGTCATCCGTACATAGTATCATAGCTAATCCAACAACATCCCCACCCAATCGCGCACACATACCCAACCCCCACTGAACGCGTCCCGCACGCTCAGTGCCGCCCGGCAAATTGCTGCAACGTAACAAGAACCGGTATGATCACGCACACCGCGCTCATAACTAGTACCGTCACCCTCCAATCCGGCGACGCATGCGCCGTGATAAGCAGGAGCAGAGCGAGCGTGAGGCCGGATACGGACACGAAGAGGAGCGGTAGGCGGGAGAAGAGCGCGAAGAGGAGGTAGCCGAAGTATCTGTCGCGCGCGGGGATTGCACAGTCAGAGTTGAGAGTTGATCTCGCGTCAAGGATGCATGGTAACGTACCTTGAACGTCCGGGCGTTGGCGTTGAAGTACCGCAGTAGGAGAGCCAAGTCTACGGATATCCCACATGCGATTGCCGTTGCGGACAGGACTAAGCATCGCGAAGCTTGCCCGTCGATGACGAAGATGGTGCCGGTCCGAGCGAAACTGTAGACGGCCGTGTCGATGCTGGTCGATACGCGTCAACGATGCTTAGGGCTGAACATGTAGGACACGACTTACGCTGCGATTGCCATAAGCTGTTCGCAGCATCTTCAATTGTGTGTGCTGAGCGGGTAGATTAAGAACGTGCTCACGATCGCGCCGGCGTACTGCCACTCGCTCATAAGTCTGACCCGCACCTCCTCGAAATCCGCGTCCTCTTGCGTGAAAGCGGCATGGCGCAGCTGCTCGTAATAAGTCATCTGGCTGCAGAGCCAGACCGCGCCGTATCTCGGTGCATGGTACAGAGCTCCATTGCGCTGGCCGGCGAAGAGCGGGAGGAGGCTCGTGCAGATGAGGTCGGGGTGGTAGAAGATATCCGGGTGTTCGCGTATATACTCGGCCTTCGGCGACGGCGGCGGGTAAGCCTCACCGGGCTGCTTTGCATCCCACCATGCATCCTTCTTCGTGTCGTCCCGGCGGATGAAAGGCGCGTGAGTAGTGTCGTCTGTGACGCTGTACCCGGAGGCTCATCGTCAGTGAAATCGCTAAAGGCCTGCTCAGCAACGAAGAAGCCACAGAGGAATGGACCACGAACTTCTCGGTTTCCGTAGAACTTCCCAGGGAATCCTGAGACTCATCATCCGACTGCGACCAGCTTTCCTTCTCCGAGTCCATATCGTCGTCCAAACCATCCTCTCCCGCTGCAGACCTCGCACCGCGCTCGCTCATAAGATTGAAGTATCCACACGGTTCGTCTGTATCCGATAGGTACAGATAATGAGTGCCAGCTCGTCTTACGCCGGTCCATGGCATGCATAGAACTCACCCAGTATCAAGCCAAGGTTCTGTGGCGTCTCTATCAGAGTCTCGGAGGTGGGCGATGGAGTCGTCAGACGATGCGGTGGCGCGTAGTGATAGCCGTACCCAATCGACTCATTGCTAAGGCTATCGGACCCATCAGCTCCTTACATCTTCATACATAGTAAGCACTTACTCCATGACCGCTGGCTCCACGAATGGCACACTGCATTTCAGAAGACGGTTCAGCATGAAGTGACAAGCTAAGAGATCAGAGTGAACGCACTTCTCGAATTGCTCCCAGACGTTTTTATGCGTATCCTCGTTGAAGTCGAAGTGGTGAATCGTGGCATATTCCATGAGCCAGGGGATATAAGGGACGGCGGTCGTCGTAGCTGGAGGAGGATGCCGGAGGAGCGCGACAAGTGCACACTAGGCTGTTGCGCCGGTGATTGATGCGCCACAGGCACGCTGCCAGTCTGACATCGCTAATCAGCACAGTTTCCGACGAACGACTGCTTCAGCGGAAATATTGTAAGCGATTGTCCCATTTTGAGCGTAGTACGCGGGCGGTCACTTCAGTCGCAGACCGCTCAAGGAGTGAGCCGGGCCACACATGGGGGAGTGTGGTCGGACCCCTTTCAAGATCTCATGCCGTGTGTGCGAGTGCTGGACAGCATGAAACGAATGCGCGCACAGCTTTGCCTAGATAGTGACCAGACATGAAGCGCAGACCGGACATCATTAAAATGAAGTACCTCCACGTCTCCCGTAAGTTCTGCAGTTCAAAGAACGCCGACGAGGGTATAGATACTGTAGCAGAGCCAGCGATCATGGTGGTCAGAGCCAACGAGCGCTCGCTCGGGCGCCCCGAAGCGCGATCCGAATCCGGGATGGACGTCATCGCCGAGTGCCGAAGTTCCCCACAAACCCGCTCAGACCCTTCGCCATCACACTCGCCGAGCTCGTACACTCTCTTCGCGCCTGGCGCGCCGCTTCTTACGCGCTCCCCGCTCCTTACCGAGCTCTTGGTATCCAGCAACTAGCGGCCCGCGCGGTGGGGCGTCGCTGACGCCCCCCGGCTGCTGCAACATACGCCACATCTAAAACCTCTGCTGCTTGTGGAAGAATATCCCGACGACCCGCCCGGACCCCACCTCACCCTTCTGCTCCAGCACGGAGCCGGCTCAGACTTGAACGCACGCGCGGAGTGTGGACACACACCGCTCACACTGATGGCAAAGCAGTTCAAGAACTGGACAGAAGCAGCCGACTTTGACGGATACGTCAAACGATGCCCCTTTTCTCGCGGTGCTACGATGGACGAACGTTCTCCTCGCTTGCTGCGAGACTTGGGGACCCAATTCGGCTCTCCCGCCATTGATAGGCCTTGCCTGTCCTGTCATGTACTGGGCGCCTGGTGCGACGATGCTGAGTAGGATCCGTGACGGAAGTCGGGCAAACTCCTGGATCCAAAGTTTTACGATGTAGTACTAGATTCGTGCGTTGGCGCATCCTACGCTAGTAGCGCAATTGTGTGCAAAGCGGGTAGTACGGCGCTTAGAAGTCAGTTTCGGAGGGATGGGCGGTGTCCATTACCTCAATGTGCGCCAGTCGCGGCGCGGTGCTTGAGGATGAACATTGCAATCAAGGTCCCAACGGGATGGTCTCGACACTCGGACAGTCACGCTTGCGAGCCGAGCGCTACAAACAGACATCGAAATGCGCGAAGTGTGAGTCATGCAGGACGCGCGCGCCGCGTGATATTGCGCAAATAAAGGGATATATTATTCCGATGACATGGATAGTAAAGTCATGTGGCCGCGTTCCCAACCCTAACCTCAACGCCCCTTTCCGGCGAACCATCATTCGGGCTCCTCGCCACCAATCCAGTCCATAGCGCTGACAATAGACACCATATTTGCTCTTGGGGAGACCCTGGATGATCAGGTAGAATGAAGTATGCGGCAAGGCGACAAGGCGCGGTGAACGTTTAACTGACGCCCTCGTCAGCGCCGTCGGGAGTCGCGGCGACAGTCTTGGTTGATCCAGCCCGCACTTGGGTAAAACTTGCTTGCTCCTGCAGAAGCGGTACATGTGCGAGGGGTTCGAGCCCGAGGTGAGGTGCGCGAACGGTGCGCGCGTCATCTCCCGTCGTGGGTCGTGATGAGCCTGTGAACGGCCATGCGAGAAGAGGCGTATTTGGTGGAAGTGGTACGCCTTCCAGAACCCACGCTCTGAGCCCAGGCGTGCTGAGGTTCGCTAGACCAGATAACGCATGTCCAGCTCCGGGATTACACACTCCGTCCACCAAGCCGACGTGAAACGGTCAAGTGCGGGCACGTTCAAGGGAAGACGCGACACGAGATGCGCGAGTAGAGCGCGACGTTGAGCGACAGAGTGGATGAAAAATGCGGTGGAGATGGGGCAGAACGTGGTCGAGTTGCAGAGGCGGCATATACGTGCAAGCCGATCTTCAGCGTAGTCGCGACATCCACGCGAGGTGAACTCTTGGGCTCTCTTCGGCGGCGCAGCGGCCAAGCAGGGCTACATAAGCGCGCGAAGACGCGATCCCAACAAGAATGAGTCCGGCGTGCGCTCAGCCGTCTGCCAGGTCGATGGTACATGCGCGTGTCGATGACATAAAGTGGGGCATTGTCTCCTTTGAGCGCACCGACCTCGGAATGCCTACAAAGATGGATGGGCGACATGCCGAATGTGGCTGGTTCACATGACAGGGAGGGCGCCGTCACTCGAGTTTGAAGAGGCGCCAAGTCTCGCTGCCAGAATGAGCGGCGCGCCTGAGTTGGAGCAAAAGACTTGAAGGAGGGGTGAGGTTCTACTCCGGAGGTGCAATAGGGAATGACAGTGAAGCGCGCGGGCGCGTATGAGCGTCTCCGAAGGACCTACAAATCCTATTGGCGCAAGGACGTCCATATCGCTGACTCTGACCGTTCTTGAGTAGGTGGCCGAACATGGGCGCATTCAGAGGGTTCCCGTGTGGTGGTAGAGGGGGCACAAAGTGCGATGGTGAGCTCTCGGCGTTCAGGTTTAAATAACATTCGGCGTTCGGCGTTAACGCCTTGTAAACCTTCTGGCGGGCCGTTCGGTCCAGCGCAACGCGCCGGTTGGCGTTCGACCACCATGACCGGAGCCCTGAATGCGATTCATACTCTTCCACCTCTGTACACGTCCAGGAGCTCGCTCTCGTGAAATTCTCAAGGTAACTCTGCTCCGCCACAGAAGCGCCGAGACACGCGGCTGGCGCGAGCCGCAACGTGAGATCCCTAGGAAGCTCGTCCTTAGGATTGCATTCGAAAAGAAGATCTCTGCCCAAACTATGCGACTTGGAAGGTAGCTTAGGACACCAGTCCTTGGATTTCTAATGATAAGAACCTGTCGCAGCGCAAAGAATCCCCCCATCTCCCCACCAACTTGTTCTCTTCGCTTTCTTGCCTTTCCTTCCCCCGCTCTCTGCCTGCGAGCCATGATCCCGATTACCTGCAACGCCGTGGGCGATATCCTCGCACTAGTGACCCTCTTCCTCGACATTGCTCGAGCTCTAGACGAAGCCCGCGGTTCCCCCGCCAAATGGCGTGCTCTCAACTCAGAGCTCAAGTCCTTGCATATCGTTCTGGCATCTGTGGCTCGTGTTGCCGAGCACACCACGGATACGCTCCTCCGCGACGAGATTGTCCGCGAGGTCAATCGGTGTAGTGATGACGTGCACCGTGCGCTCGAGCGCGTGGCCGAGTTCTCTACGCTCGGGCGCGACGAGTCTCCCGACGATGTTTGCAGCATTAAGACTTCCTGGCCTATGACATGCTCCATGCGCCGGGAGCAGGCGCCTGGCACCCGTGCCTCCTCTCGCCGACATAATCACCCATGTTCGTGCACCCGGCTATGATACCGCCCGTAGATGCATTGCATATCGGTGCGCCTGCGTTCCGCCCTCACGCCGCGTTCGCTCAGACGGGGGGGGGGGGGGG